CGAATACCCAAGGCTAAGCATATTCCGGATGGGAGCAGGAAATTCGTTTCGAATGAGTCTTCTGTGCTCACACTCAGACGTGCACGTCAAGGTCTCTTTGTTGAAGAGAGTCCTTTCCGACTGCATATCTCGACCGTTTTTGTGATGAACGCGGGCTAGGTTCACCCCGTACCACAGCAGAAAATATTCTATGAGAGGACGGTTTCAAGTCCGCGATCGGAGGGATCGTACTTTCCCCCCAGCTCTTATCCCGATCGTGGAGGGATGTGAATCATTTCATGCTTGGCTCTTCCCCATTGTTCGCGAAAGGAGAACGGAAACCCTGAGCTCACGTCATTCGTCTCAGTCTTCGACCCCCACGTCCGCCGGAGCTCGAAAGTGCTGACGAATTACGAGTCTCACTCAATCAAAGTCGACCGATCCGACTCCGACGAAGCGATGATTCTCCGCAAATCTCTGATTGAGGAAAGCCACTAAAGCTTTACAGAACTCCGCCGATCATGGTGGCCTTTCGATCCATTGCATCGTTTCAGACTCTGCTTGAAAACCTGACCTGCTTGAACTTCTCTTAACCATATGAGCGAGTCATTGTTCTCCCGGGGATCTCTGAAAGATCCATGACGTTCCCTGCGACGTGAATCGGAGGAGGAACGACCCGAGCTGCGTGATTGCGCGGCGTAGCGCGGCTGCCGCATCGCTCACGATTTGAGTCCGCACCTCTTGACAAGATTTCAAGAAATCCTGTTTGGGTCTACGCAGACGATTGCTGTATGCTGAGGAATCAGAGGGCAGGCGTACTCGCTCCAATGCTATCGATGTCTCGGAGAGCGAGATTCCGTCCAGCTCATTCCGTTTGAGCGGTCGACAGACTGAGTGGAAGATTGCCTGTCTCTACCACGGTCCGTGAGAATGACGGCCTCTCCGGTCCACAAAAAAATCCCATGCGGATTGTTCCGCGTCGAACCTCGTTCGCGTGGAAGGGCTGTTTCTCAACGCTCTCGGACATGGAAGGTAATACTCGACGTGGAGCACGTGTCCCGCGTCTCAATCCGTCCTCTGAGGTTGATGGCAGTTCGGCAACGCACGCCATGTTTGCACGACGAGACTTCCCCGCTGATGATATTCACGGTCGGAGGACCGTCTGTAAATGCGATTTCAATCTCTCCATTATCGACACGTTCGGCTTATTTCCGAGGCGAGAGCAAAACGTAGGAATCGGGGAAATATTTGAAGGTGCGGGCCGATGTCACAAAGTCGATCGAATCTAGAGGGAATCCTGGAATCGTCGATGGATATACATTTCCTCGATCGTTGAGTAGTCGGGACGGTAGTGCCGGAGACCGAATAGAGCCGGGGTGTTTCTCGTTTTAATTTGGACGAATCGCTGCGTTCTTGGCATGGAGACTGCGAGCATGAGCCAAGCCTCGAAAACCCACACAAGTGGAAATCTCTCCGACGAAGCGAAGATTGATAGCTGAAAGACCTCGGTCAATCTCGGACCAGAGTCGAGAGCAGTAGACAACTTGAGGCCCAGGCTCGGGTCTGAGACGGATTATCTTCGCTGTGAGGTTTCGTGGTCCCCAGTTTGCCGGACTCAAAAAAAGCGGTTCAACGTTCATGTCGACGTTCAACGATTCCAAACCGAATTTAAGGCCTCTGGCGATTCGACGATCGGATTACCTCACGAAACCCCCCTAACTCTTCTAAAGCAGAAAAGAAGCTTGGACAAGGACGCCGTCTTTCAACTTTGAGCTCCTGTGGGTCAGACGACCGCTCCGCGGATTCCAGCGTGGGTTGCCTCCCTTTTTCCCGCTTCGTCGACGCACGGAGATGTCAGAATGATTAGAATCAGGATAATCAATGAACACCGCGGAGGTTTTCCACGATACTACACAGGACACTCCAGACAATCGACTCGAGCAGCGGAGATCGAAGAAGAAGGAAATGCGCATCGCAAGTTTGGCTTCCGCCGGGGGAGGAAAGATGAAGAAACAAGCATCCCACCCAGAGAACGCCATGGCAAGCAGGAAGAGGGTCCTGCCCGAGGAGCCGCAGTCGCGCGAGCTTTTTCCTCGACGAGCTTAGTGTTACGCGGTGTACCTGTGGCTTCAAAATATCTGCGGGCGGCATGCAAGCCGGATATCCGATGCTGACTAAACGGGGCGGCTCCCAGCTCGATTCCACGGTGCTCGTACATGCTAGAACATCTCAGGACGGTCTCCTGACGACTTCTTCGGGGTGTTTTTTGCTCGGAATAAATTGTCTTGCCGTCCCCGAGCTCAGTCTCCTGGTTCTTCATTTTCTAAGGTCTCACAGCTCGGTGAATTTCTGGAGCCACCTCAAGAACTAGCGGGACCTTTCTCTGCTCCAGGATCGCCTGGTCGAGCTTCCCTGGCAAAAGCCGATGGGCGCTGATGAACGCGGCTCTGCAGGCGACCTCGTGCGTTATCTCGGATCCGACTGCCACGTACTGGCTCCGATCCAATTATTCGAACTCTCCGAAACAGGAAGTCGGCGAGCGAGTATTAATTGTGAATCTCGCTAAGAAAGCTCCAACTAAATCGTTGAGTGACGACATAACTAGGACAGTGAATTCGAATACGACGATTCTGATACCGCTCCCGTGGCAGAAACGGCGACCCGCGGGCTGGACTCGAGAGAAGTGACTGAAATCCGCCTCCTACGGGATTTCCTGTTGATTGAGATTGGAGCTTTTGAGAATTCTTCCGCCTCGAACCCGCGTCAGATGTCTCTGAGAAAATTCCACCCGCAATGGATGACTTTTTTAAGCCTTTTTTAAGCGTCGTCGCGCTCGGGAGCCTCCTCTGAGAACCCCGATGCACACGGGAGATATTTCGAGAGAAGACGCGGATCTCCGCTGCGGAAACTCCGCAGGAAACGTCTGCTCATCTCGCTGGAAGTCGAGCCTGGAGTCAGAGCTTTCTCCGTGGTGTTTGAAGCCAACAATAGATAGAGCCATCAAGGCGGGATTCCGTATTCTGCGCGAGTATGTGACGCACCAGACCCTGAAAGCAGATGACTGAAAGCTTTACACAGGACGCTGTTTCGCAAAAGACGCTGCTTGTATAAGTCAGGCAGCCGGTAAGGAAACTCTTGCAAACCCTCCCGGTATGCGGTGAATATATCCAGTTGACGGACTCTCGACCCACCGCATGGGAGAGCTTGATACATATTCAGAAGTGCACGCACCGCCGAACGAAGCGCTCTCTTTAGTGCATACGGATCCCGGAATTCCACAGCAGAGATCAGCGGCTCCCTGCATGCAGCGAAATTTTTAGGGCCGATTGTTTATAGAGCGAAGCAACACTCCGATGAATAGTGACTTTCTTGGGAAAGCATCGGAGATTTTTTGGAGAGTTCAGCGCGCATCAACATCGCGGGCGTCGTCTACGAAGTCTTCGAATATAATGCAAATGCTTGCCTTACACGAAACACTCCGTACAAAACGACATCCGCGCCTTGGCTCATGCTGTCGCGACTTTTGCGCAACAGTCAGCCGCTAGACATGAGGAGCCGAGTGGGCTGGCGGCATCGACGGGTTTGAAGATCTCCGATATGAATCGAGCTCAGGTTTTCACCAATCTTGCTTCGTTCCATAGCTCTGATGATCAATCGGTCTGCGAACTCCGTTGGTGAAGTCTGCGCTTATCGAATTTGATCAATGGGGCGTATCCCCCAACGGAATTCCACGATGAAAGTGGGAAGCGAGATAAGTTTGCTGTGATAATTCCTCAGCTCCGATGCCGAGCGCGGAACGTCCGCCAACCCGATCGAATCCTCGTCATCGGGACGCAAGAGATATTTCTGGCGCCAATCAATTCATCAGGATCGTTCAATTCGTACATATTCCGCGCCGACATCACCTGTCAGTCGGGCAAGTGACTTCGTCCAAAGACGGATTCACAGTATCTGAGCGGACGAGTCTTGCTCTCCCGAATGGCCGATGCGACAGCGCGAATCAAAACCTCTGTTACAGAGACACTGAGGGGGAGCTATGAAAACTCGTATGCAGACCCCTTTGCGGAGGCAGTCTCCGACCCGGCGGCGTCATTTAACGACGTTGGAGCGCGGGGTGGAGCCAAGGAGGGGATATCAGGCGTGAATTTCGGAAAGTATTCTCGGTCGTTATTTTCGTGCGGCCTGCGAACATCGTCGGGTGCCCCTCATCATTCAACGCATCTTTATTCGTACTGGTGTCGTATCGTTTCGTTTCCTCGCATCCCGTTCTTCCCAAAGCTCCAATTCGTTCCGCGTGCAGGTCTCATGGAAAGGGAGCAGACTCATTGAATGTTCAACCAAAAGCTCTGAACACGCATCTCGGGCCCACGTCAAATCAGGCAAAAATACCGATACGCAACAGCGCTCCTGGGCTATTGTGGAATATCATTTTGCGAATTATCCAGTCCCGCATGAAATGGGTCTTTCATGGCAGGGTTCCCCGAGGTGCGTTTCACGCTCCATTGGCGGGACGCAAAGCTCCCTCCCCTACACCGCTCCGGGCCGGGGTGCCTCAGCCACGAAGGGACTCTGGAAGTTTTGGAGCCTTGGGAACTCTGGCGTGGTTGAATCGAACAGAAAATTGCATCGGAACACAGATCGAGGAACAGTCGTACTTCGCGCTGTGTTCTGTGGAAACGTTCGATAGTTTCATTCTCCAGGATCGCATGAGAATTGTCACACAAATATTTTAACATTCTCCGAGAATCGCAAACTTGACGGATCGATCATGGAGAGACAATCGACACTCTCGACTGTTTTCTCGCAGAAATCGAGGAAAATCAGTAATTCCCGCAGCCAAGAGAGTGTTGCATCGGATCCGGTAGGAGAACCTTCGCCAGCTCCGCAGGATTCATCGGGGTCTACCTCTTCTCTGGATTCACCCGGGGGAATCGCTCACGAATTTTATCCTTTACCCGTGAGTGGAACTTCGCCCTTAGGTCCTCTGTACATCGGTCATTTTGTCCGATCCGATGTCTCATTGGACGACGAACAACGTTACGACGCCTTGGTGAATGCGTGGGAGCCCGCTTACAAGTTTCCACTACAAGTTTCCAAAGGTTCAGGAACAGGGTCGCTCCCGCGCTTCCCAACACCACTGTTTAAGAAGGTGGCCATGGTCTACCTTCAGCGAAATGCGCGATGGCGGAGGGTCCTGCAAGCATTGCATCCTCTTCGCGAAGTCAGAATCTTCCGATCGGCACTGACATAGAATCCTGGGTACGCTGGTCACCCAGCCTTCGAATAAATTCAAGAAGGCCGTAGAATCACTCAAGAATCGTTCCGGACTCCAGTATCATCAAGACCCGGCGTGTCGAATCCGTGGCCCTCGGGCAGCATGTGGCCCGCGAGGTCTTTTGTGGCCCGCCACTCTTCCCCCACATACTCGAAGCCGACCATTTCGAATGAGTGCTTGGAAATTGAATGAGATCGGTGGGATGAAACCCTCCGTACAACCGAACAAACGAGTTTTCCCTCGATTCGCGGAAGCTGGAAAAGCATTCTTCCATGAACGATAGGCATATATATATTCTCCTTTTATACGAAAGTAAATTTTTAATGTGGCCCGCCAATAATTTAAGTCTGACACCCCTGATCTAGACGCAGGAGAGGAAGCTCGACGCTTCCTTCAATGGTACAAGGATGAGCCGACACTCGAAGTTAGGAATCGCCTGCTTATCGGTCGTGAGCATTAAGTGATGAACAACCGTCAGAGACTGATTCCAATGATCAAGACAGTTGTACTGTGCGGCCGGCAGAATATAGCTTTGCGGTGCCTCAGAGATAATGGGCTACTCTCCGACTATTCCCTCGGAGGCCCGAAAGAAGGAAATTTCCGAGCGTTGCTGAGTTACAGGCTTGATGCCGATGACAGCCCTTTCGAAGAGCATCTCGCTAGTCCGAAGCGAAACGCAAACTACATCAGCGGCAAGTTCCAGAATAAAATCATCCGAGCCATAGGGAGGTTAATCCGGAAGAAGATCGTGAATGAAGTCAAGGAGGCCAAATTCTTCTCCATCCTCGCAAGAGACATCTCGGCAAGCTGGATCAACTGACAATCTGTCCCCGCTACGTTGCGAATCAAGACGACCAAAGGGTACTGAGGGAAGTTTCCCTAAAGTTCTGTGATGTCACCGACAAAACAGGCGCTGGCCTCGCGCGCGCCATCCTAGATAATCTCAAGGAAGAGGAACTGGACGTCAGGGATATCCGCGGCCAAGGCTATGATGGTTGCAGCGCTATGGGTGGTCGTCGGAAAGGCGTACAAGCCGAGATTAGAGCTGTTGTCCCGCAGGCCTTGTTGCGAGTCATTGCCTCAACCTCGCCGTGGTCCACTCAATTGATGTTGTGCCGATACGAAGAGCTTTCGGTTTGGTCTCAAGCGTAGCAGCCTTCTTCTCGAACTCTACTTCACGTGTCAGATCTTTGGAAGATCAGTTTGAAATTCATGCGACTTCTTCAAGCAAGCGGAGACTCGAAGCTTTATGAGGCACGCGCTGGGTTGAGAGCCATCAGGCTTTTGTAAGTTTTAAGGAACTTCGCTTCCCAATTGTCCGTTTTCTGAAAGGGATCAGTCAACCTCCAGGTGATAGCGGTACTGGTGCGTACACACTACTGAACACCGTGTGCAATTTCGACTTCTTGATCTCACTCTACTTTATCCAGAGTTTCGCTTCGCTCCTACTATCATTGCCGGTTGATCTACAGAAGAAGGAACTAGATATTTTCGGTGCGCTGGGTATTGTTGACACAGTTCTCTCAGTTCCGAAGGAGAGGAGAGGAGAAGCAGGCCCAGTTTTCACCGAAGTTTTCGGTGAAGCGACGTTTCCCGACAGTATCGACATCGAAATCGAAATGCCCCGGGTGTGCCATCGGCAAGCTCATAGAGGGAATCATTCCGTATATCCTCCTGAGGAATACTTCCGAACTTCCGCCTACATTCCATATATCGACGCTCTGATCACAGAATTCACCTCCCTCTTCGAAGACACCCGGAAAAATGCTGCGGAGCTTCCGTTTCTGATACCCAAATTCACCGTGGAGAGCTCGTACGGAGATATGCGTGAAATCTTCAACTTCTACGAATCGGATCTGAACTGAAGTGAGAGCGTTCTACGGGGTGAATTCGAACGTTGGAGAGCAAGGTGAATCGAGGTGCCACGGAACAGGCTGCCCGTGAATGCCATTGACGCTCTGAAGAGCTGCTTCGTCGAGGAGTTTCCAAAGATTTCGATCCTACTGAGGACTTTTGCGACTCTCCCAGTAACTACCTCACCACCGGGAATGACGTTCAGCGCTTTGAGACTGCTGAAAACATATCTGAGTGAACATAATGAGCGAGGAGCGTCTAAATGTATCGACATCCATGCTCATTCAAAAAGATGTCGCAGTCGCTCCGGAAAAGGTTCTCGGAGTCCTCGCCCTCGATCCTCGGAAATTGGGTCTGGTTTTATCGGTGATCGAGTGTCAGGCAGTATAGTAAATCAGCAAATATTGTGAGAGAGACAGAGGTCCCTACAGTAAGCGTCTAATTGACGGACCAAGACGAGCTACGTGATTCCGAGAAATAAACGAAACAGAGCGCGGAAGCGGTCTCTCGGTGAACGATCGATCCGGGTCATTTTTGCGGTTCAGGTGACAGATTTTCCATCTGGCTGTCGACTCCCTCAACCGGAGAATCTGTCTAAAACTAACATTGAGAAAATAACATAACGAGTTAGAGAGAGAGGTAGAGAGAATTACATAACAAACTTATGTTCAGAACACACATTTGCAAAATACAATTGGTTCGTCTCATTGTCATTGTGATCTGACGAAAGATTCCAAAATCGGTCGCTTGGCTCATTCGAGGAGTTCTGGGGAACCTCCCTCGAAAAACTTGCCCCCCGTTCGACAAAAAATCCTGGGCACGCCCCCGCCCACGATGCACGGATTTATTCTTCTGCTTCGGCCTCCGTCAGCGCCTCGTAGGGAAGTAGGTAGTATCTCAATGGAGAAGTCTCCAGATTACTGGATTCTCTGGCCAGACGATCATGCTCCTGAATTCAGATAGGACTATGCTCGGGAGAGCTGACGTGTTCATGAGTCAAAGCTTCAGCCTTTAGCACGCCACTCTTCCCTGGCTCGTTGCTCGATGTTCGCGTCACGACTGGCCGAAGCCCAGACTTGGGAGTAGAATACGTCACCGGAGGAGGTTCCATCGTTACCCGGAGGATTGGATGCTCTGGTTCATGTCTAACATGAGAGAGGTATGCCTCCCCGAACTGCTGAGTGGTGACTTCGGTGGAGCAGCTCGCAAAGGGGTGACCCTAAAATTCTCAAAAGGAACTGCGAGTGCGGAAAGGGGTAGGGGGACTGAGGGGGAGGTAGGAGGAAAAGGTGAAGGAGCCATCGGAAAAAATCCATCGACGCTTTTGCCAGAAGAGTGGATTATTCAACTGGAGTGGGGGCTCATGTAAATAATACCCACTGGAAAAACCTAAGGCTCTTTACCTGGAGGGAGAGAGCGGATAGTGTTGGATTCGAAGAGTTTAGGATCATACGTCGAAGGGAAGACATGAGGAGGAAGGGCATTCCGTAGACGGGACTTCGTCCCTGATCGGCGTGAACTCGAGCCAGATAGGAGACAGGATCACGAGGACTGCTACAAGAGAGCATGAAGTGAGCCCGCGGTCCATAGGTGATATCTGGGGAATCGGCTCACTAGCCGATCCACTCGCCTTAGGCGGCGAGCTGATGCGAAAAATATTTTTGGGAAACGGAAGACGAGGAAATCAGAGGAGCGTAACGCTAGCGCCGCCGGAAGCATTCTTACTCCTGTGTAATTCCTCGTAGGGAACTCCGATCGTCTAACGATTGTTATCCAGTATTGAAAACAACTGTGTGACTAGCGAAAAGCCTAGAATAATCCAAATTATGTCATTCTCTCGGAAGAGAGCCGTCGCTTGCGGTACGACTCCATGAGCCCCGTGAGGCCTTTTCCGTCGGAACCCCGAGGAAACCGGTGCTGTATGGAATGTCTTGAAACGAGCGAATCGACAACCGGGAGAGGCAACATATCGAGCAGCCTCGGGAAACCTCCTCCGAGCTGTGATCGTCGGTTAAGAGGAGGAGAATCCTGAGGGTCATAGGGAGTCCCTATTAGCAAGAAGCACAGAAGCTCATATCCGTGAGCTCTCGTGAGCATTTCCGCTCCGAATGATGGTAGTTCTAAGTCTGGCCGCCTCGGACGCCCATTTCAAATCCAGAAAGTTACCTTCTTGCATGAAGAACTCACTAGTCGAAAGATATCCTGGAGATCAGTATGTAATCATCTTCTCGGGTAAGTCGCCACTTTTCGCACTGAATTGATAGAAATGAACTTCTCCTTGAACATGTGTCTAATGTCTCGATCATCGGATGAGCTCATCGATTCTTCTTTGAAAAGTCACGCGATGCCTGGAATTTTCGGGAGAGACAAAGGAACTCCGCGAACTATGTATAAGTGGTCCGTGAATCAAGCTTCCAGTGAGAGACGCAGACGCCGACCTCCAACTTGTCCGAAGTCTACTTGGCGGGAGCTGTTTCTAGATGATCCTTCAAGACCTCAGGTATCTGGTCGACTCTGATCGACGCTTCACGTGCATTTCGGGGAATGCATACCGCTCCTCGGAGAGCTTCGAGGTCGTTCGATACATAGCCGATTCCAGTGAAGCTGTCAACGATATCCTGCATCCTAGGATGTTCCCTTATATCCGGTACTCGGAGTTCGGGAGGACCGATCAAAGAGAGGGATTATTATCCATGAGTAGAATTGAGTAGAGAGTACGGATAATCATCATGGATAATAATCCCTCTCTTTGATCGGTCCTCCCGAACTTCGAGTACCGGATATA